ATTGCTTAAGAGCACTTCAGGATCTGGGGGATACAATCTGGGGGTCTCGATAAAACTATTCAGTCTAAAAGAAAACCATCATCAAAGGAAACTTAACTGCAAATAAATATGCCCAACGGTCTAACTCTAATCAGGATCAAATATCTATTACAAATTATATAAAGACACAATTGATAAAGATGAATTAATACACATAGATAATAATTCTCTAAGTCAATATATTTACTATCTCTATCAGATAGGATATAAATGAATATATTAATGTTTACAGATCGAGTCACACCTGCACCTAGGCATACAAGCCCAGTCTGACTAGTTCCCTCGGTAATGGACTTTATATTTATATATATATATATATACTGTATACATATATATATATATACAGTATATATGTACATAAATACACACAAACACACACATATATTCACACTTTCATGCATATTATTCACTCATTTCTGCATTTCTCTATGGTGAGCATTATCTCATTTCCTCACCTTCACTCTCTCTCTTTCACACACACACACACACACACACACACACACACACACACACACACAAGGCGTCCCATTTTCATGCCATTTTCTATTATTTTGGTTGAAATACCGTGAGAAGCTGAGGTGTTGCGTAAATGTCAGAAATTCAGATTCTCAGGGTGATGAATTCTTATAATTATGCAAAGGAGAGAATGTGAGAGCAGTCAATAAGCAAGAAGGCAGAATTTGTATAGCCCACCCCCTCAGTCCAGAGTATATAATCATTATTTCAAATATGCTTATTATGCTTTTAAAAATATGAACTTGAATACAGGTTTTTCCAAATTAAAGCACCAAATAGCTTTCAATAGGGCTGCCCTTAAGGTCTTGGCCAACTAAGAAACTTTTTGTCGTTTTCTGTAATATCACGGGTTTTTTTGGTTGTGTTTCTGTTCCTTGGTATCACTGGGAAACGAGACTCACATCTCTGAACTCATACTAGTAAATATTCACAATCATGTTTTGACAGATTTTTCAATCAAATCAACTGATACATGAGTGAAAGAAATCCACCGACTATTAGGAATAAATCTGTCCCTAAGTTTATAGATCTAGTCTCTTCCCCGCCCATAGTTTTAAGGAAATTATCTTATTAGTTCTCACCTTAAAAACAGCAGCCACTCTGGCCAAGGACACACCATAGAACAGATGGCTGCATGAAGGTACACACACACGCAACTCTCTTCTCCACAGTTCCTCTGGGAGTATTAGCTACTGCAACCAGCTCATTGATTATCACTACGCATTGTGTTTTTATATTGAGCTCTGAATTATCCTCACTAAACAGCTTAATAACCCACTGCTTCCAGCTAAGTCCGGTCTGACCCAGACTGTGGTTGTTCTCCACAATGGCAGTACTTCATATCTAGTCATGGTCTGTTATGGTGAACCACGGGGCTTTTTTGTTGGGCCATCTCTACTTTCGAGCATCCGCAGCCAAAGTTTGCACATAAAACATCTTCCTCTCTCAGTTAATGTGATTCTTCTTCTAGGCAAAAACGTGTCTTCTCTTAATTATGATGGCTTTATTAGTAATCTTGAATTATGTTTGATGTGTTTCATTTTAAACACATCAAACCACCAAAATAGAAACCGCTGCACACTGTCACTTAATCAACGGCTGACAAAGTAATAGAGCCTCTGATCTGCTGTTAGTGCAGTTCATATAAAGCATCATGACTACGGCGCAAATTCAAATGTACCACAGAAATGAGTTGGCACACAAGCGACTGAAGTTTCTTAACAAAAACATAACATTTTCAGGCCGTATTTATTGCAGGGCTGTATTGTGCAGCGCTACATTATACAGGTGTGTTTTTCTGGTTATTCAGTGTACACAATAACAGAGTAACAGAAACTGCCCTTTACTCTTGCAGAACAAAACCAAAACATTCAAACACATAAACAACAGTCCTGTATGTTGTTACACAATACATGACATGAGCTACTGAGATGATGCCATTGCTTTTTACATCCACTTATCGATGCAGTATCATACATTTTATTGTTTAAAGAATCTTTATCATTAGATTGGTTTCACATTTAACTGCATTTGTTTGTAGTTACTGGTCTTTACGACCACTATTTTCACATATTTGTTTGCTAAGACCCACGACCGCTGCTCTCTAATCAAGCAATCAAGCATAACACCTCAGCCATGACTTTTACCTTTACAAAGATAATAATGTTCACTTCTAATTGACACTGTCAGTGTGGTATTAATTTAACTATATAGTTATTATTAAAGTTTTCATTTGCAGTGATGTTAAACTGGACTTTATCATAGAGAGGGATGTTTCTAATGTTCTGTCAACCCCATTTATAAACACCTCTCTGACAGTATGAACAGAAACCGAACATTATAATCAAATGCAGATATGTTGTTCTTATTTGCAATAAATTGTATTGGTGTATCTAACACAGTGGCCAGGGAGTGCATGTTCAGCACACTTTTGAAGATGCTGCAGTACATTACATTCACTCCCTGAAGGCTATAACCTTATCAGTAAGCCTTGTTGCTAAACACCCCTATTTTCAAAAGGAACCATTTTTGCTCGTGGTCGATGCCACGACAATGACACCAAAATGGAGACAGCTATGATGTCTCAAACCTCAGTTAGTCGCTGTGTATAACGAAATATAGTCAGAACTTCAACAGTGTAAACCACACACACAGATATAGAACAAGTGTTCATCTCTGTGAAAGCTGCCTTTATTTCTATAGCAACCCCATCAGCAGGAAAAGTATAGTTCAGACTTTCAGGCTCACAATCACACATAGATGTGATGTAACAGTTAGCACAGACACACTGTATACTGGAGGGGGCCGGCAGGTGGAGGTGAATGGGTGAACAGCACAGAGTGTTCTTAGTATTAAACATGTTGATGCATGCAAGTGTGTGTGTCCGACCTGATGTGGCACTAGACCCAGAGAAGTGGGAGGTTCATTCATTCGGTCATCACTGCTGCTGGCCACTGCATAACCTCTGGATGGAGAAAGAGAGAAAATGATTCTGTTTTCATTTGCCTTTTTGCACATGAACATAACCAGAACTTGTGTAACTTTGGCCACGGTTTTCTATTCAAAAGAGAGAGAGAGAGAGAGAGAGAAAGAAAAGGCAGTAAACTTAAATAACAAATATACTGTTAAAAAATATATATATTCAGAACTAAGAGGTCCAACTCCATTGAACATTTAAAAGGTATCAGTAAGATCTCAAAGATCCTGCTTACCAGTGAATCTAACCAGGTTTAAAATATTTGACTTTCTATGGATAAAAATAACTAAAACATCACATCTCACACTGAGCTTAGAGTGGTTTTGCAAAGTAAGAAATGTCTGTCAAACTGATGCAACATTAATCCCTCTGTGACAATATTCTAAAGCGCACGGTTACAACGTAAGATCTTGTATGAAAGCCAGGGCCTTAAAAAAGGGAGAAAGAGATGGAGGACAGGAATAAACACAGCTATGAAGCGAAAAACAAGGACACAGAGAGGGCAGATGCAAGAGAAGGAGATCTTGGTGTGAAGGAAGGAGCCATACAATTATAGGGGTACAGCGAGTACATGAAAACTCTCCTTCTCTCCTTTGCTTCCTAAGCTTTTTATCCAGCATAGGCAGGGCAGCTCTGTAACAGCTCATAACATCTCAGAACACTGAGAGAAAATGGCTGTCTTATCGGGCTCAGCAAGCAGCCACTTTAGTATGACTTTCACCAAAACAGACACACGCAATTACATTTCCACAAAGACACACCCGCGCGCACGAACACACACTTAATCAGCATGAAAACGTCCCCATCATTGTTTGAAAAAAAACAAAACAAAACACACTTTTAAGAGTTGAGAATATCGAGCTGCTACAGATTGCCAAGTGAACTTCAGAGCTGACTGCATTGCAGTGGTGGAGATTTTGAAGCATAAAAGAATGAGAAGGACTGGGAATTATGACAAAGCTTCTACAGTAAACACAAGTTCTTTGGCTCAAGTAAATTCTGGGAGCTGTGCTGCAACCAAATTAGGGACGGATACTACCTGTGGCGCTTTAAGACCTTGCCTGCAGTGCTGCTCCATCAAAAAAGCAGAAGTGAGCAAGTAAAGCTTCCTGAAAGTTTGGGATCCTCAAAGGCAGAAACTTTAGTTTTAAGCCTGGAGTGAGGTACCAGCATGAAGCTCTGGATGTCTGGATGTCAGGCACCTACTGGTGATCAGGGCTGCTCACTAAGGTAAGTGGAGTATCTGACCTTGCAGCACTCTAAAAGGATCTTGGATTGTGATTTCAATGTGGAGTCAGGTGGAAAAAACAAAAAATTGCTAAGGAGTGATCATTTATCAGCAGCATTCTGAGTGGTGTACATCTCCATCTGCAAACTCTTTTCATACCCATACTGTTGTCATGTTCCCCTCTCCAAATAAAATTGAATATATGGATTTTGTTTTATTATAACAAATTTAACTATTGACCTGTCACCTGAGATATAAAATCGGAGAACCTTAAAGTGCACAGTGTTTTTGCTTTAATCGAGCACAAAGTGCAACATCACACTTTTACTTTAGACATTCATTAAGTATTTGAGCTTTTGGACATAAGACAGCATATCTTACATTTGTTTGAAACAGTCTACAATTTCCCTTCTTACCTTTTCATCTTTGTTAGTTGGAGAATCAAAGCGAGCATATAGACTACTTACTACAACTCTGTGTTCAACACTCCATGCTATGAATGTACGGCCAGACCTGTACTACTAGTATTGATACTAGTACTATGATTCCATAGAACTAACCTATAGGACTTTTATAAGTCTACTCTTCTTACCCTTCACTGTGCTGCAGAATGGACACCATCATCTCAACAGCCAGGGCTCCAGCAATCATGGCGAGGCCTGGTCTGCTGACTGTGCACTGCTGATCCAGCGTCCGATCCCTGGTAGACTGTTTACAAAATAAAACAACAGAACTAATAAGCAGCTGGCAATATAGAAACAGCAATGACCTCATGCATCATGTCCTGATACCCTCCAAGCAAGCCAGATTCAATCCCTTAAACCTGACAGGGTCTCCTCCAGTTTACAGAGAGGAGTAGTTTTGGAGGTTGCCACCAATTCAGATTCATTTTATTTTTGACAGGTTTAGATGATGCTTTTTATATAAAGTGACTTAGGCTGAGTGAGCGATTATCAGCTGTTCTGATCGCAGGCTGTTTATCTATCAGACCGTTTATCCCCTAGGGAAAAATCAGGTGTCCAGCAGCTCATTACTAATAATAATAATAAAAACATTCCAGTGTAAGCAGTAAAATAAAAATGAAAACCTTGTACAAAAACCATGTTACAGATCAAATTTACATTCCTAGCTTGTTTGCATTTCATTACAACAGCTGATCAGTGACACTGAAGTGACAGATGACGTGTGGCTGACAATCTGCTGTACCATTTTGCTTCAACCAACAAACAAAGCTCATAGGAAAAACCACAAAAACCACTTGCATCATCACTATTCACTCATTCACCAGACTCAAATTCATATCTAACATTTAGAATTTAGAGAGAGGCTGTACCTCTAATTAAAATGTTAATATTTGCAATCTGTGACAGCGAGCAGGAGGCCTTTAAAGTCAGAGCTGAATAGCACGGTTTCCAACAACTGGCTGTGGCCTTCACTAACTGATGAATGTCTTTCATAAGTAACTCATATCAAAAGGGCATGGGGGAGTAAACCACCGAAAAGAGAAACAAAGAGTGTTAAAGGTACAAAAAGGAATGAACACAGGCAGAATGTGGATGGCAAGAAAATGTGATTCTCACAAGCATAAAGGTTGTGTCAGGCAACTCTCCCCTGGGCAACATGTTAGCAACTGTTGCACAGAGCAACATCCATTTGGAGTCGTGTTTCTGGCCACCCAACATCTCAGTCCAATATTTACTTTTAGCTCTGTTTTGGTGAGAAAAATATCTCTCTCTTTAGCTGATAGATGTTCGACTGTGTTCATCAATGGTGGCGTACAATGGATTTATCAAAACAAGGCTGCTGAGAGATATCTCTGCAGGCCACAAAACCAAAACAATACGAGCGACACCTTTCACACCCAAGCAGGCATTTGATCAGTTAATATAAAAAAGTTGATGAGCACACCTTTACAAATGAGTGTTGGTTGAAGAAAACGTCTAAAAGAATCCTAACTGATTTGTGTTTATTCTTATGTTTCCATTGTCTTCATTCATATTTGTTTCAAGGGCATGAAGTGCGTGAATGAGTTGAGTGTATGTTTGATATCTGTGTGTTTTCCTCACATCTCCCGGTGCCACAACATCATTGCAGAAGTAGCAGCCCAGCTTGTGCCCTGGGATGTTGGAGAACAGAGAGGATCCTGGGATGGAGGGCACAGAGCCGGCTGGTGTGGAGGATGAAGAAGAGGCAGAGGAACAGGAAGGGGAAGAGTCTGCCCCTGCAGAAACTTTCGGACTGACGGGGGGTTTCTTCAGGCCGTGGCGCATCACAACAAATGTGTCAAAGCCTAAAGCGGCGTTGACCACTAGCTGGAGAGCAAAAGACAACAAATCATGGTAAGAAAAAAAAAAGGGTATGTACTAACACACACACACAGACACACACAGACACACAGACACACACACACACACACACACACACACACACACACACACAGAGCACATTTCAACCAAATCAAATCAACTATATGGCTTGTTTTACACAAACAATAAGGGTACAATATGTTGAATCATTTCAGAAGGGAATGACATAAAACATTAATAGGCATTAAAATGTTGAAAGCATCTAGACTTTCAGAGAAGCAATGGAAATAAATTGTAAAGCCAATTTGTGTCTGAAACAGCCCCGCGGCACAAATGGCCAAACAATCTCTCAATTGAGCAGGCCATGAGCAAAACCTAATCAGCAGCCCAAAAAACATTTACTGCATATAGCAATATAAGAGCTGCATCAGTGATACCACTGGAGGCATTACAAGTCCTTAACACAATGTTCAATAAATCTAATATTTCCTGGCAACTAATACAATTTCATTGGATGAACAGAAAACCAATGGCCAATGTTACTGAGCAATTTCAATTTCCTGGAAGAGAAATAAAATGGCTTCCAAATTTTAAGTTCCAGCCCAAATGTTGTTAGCAAAAGTTACAAAGTCATAAATGCCTCCTACCACAGTGCTGCACTGGGACTCTAGGTCCATTTTATCCTTTGAGCAAATTTATCAGTTGAAAGTCTCAGTGACACCATAAAAATACTCTGCATTTTCTACATATATTTTCATATCTGTGACTGCGATGTTAAATTACAGATCAATCATGGACATAACTCTCTCACTGCTCTCACTGTGCCATCTCCCGCCACATCAGGCAACTGTTCACTGAAAAAGCTCCACAAACAAGCTGCACATTCCCTGCCCAGCATCAAACAGCAGACATGCACAGTTATGCATAGTGGATCATTTAGCAAGTAAAGAGCCACATATTTTCTCAGAAGTTGACAGACACCAAAGGCACGACTAAAAGAGAGAAACTATCTGACTTAGATTGCTCAGGTGGCCAGAAAAACGACTTCAAATGAATACTAATGCTGCTGCTGGATGTAGACATAGGCAACCGTTTGCTAACAGGGTCACCATAACAACTTAAGAAGTGATGATATGTCAATGTTGTGTTCACAACTTGTTAATGCTGCCCCCGCATGGATAGAAATCTGCTACTGCAGGTTAAGATATAGATTATTCAGACAGGTAGTTTGAATCATGCCATGTATTGAACAGTGTATCTATTTTCCAGTCAATCCAGTTGGATTGATTGATTTTTTCGACCACCTTTTTCCATCAGAAGAACTGCAATGAATTCCACGCAAATCTTTATATCTGGGTGTTTCTTTAACAGCAAGCTGCTAACTTTTTCGCTCTGCGGTTTGGTGCTGGACATGTAGTGTATAGTCTTTATTACAGCTGCCTCCTGCTGCTGGAATCACAGCTGATGAGTGTGGCGCCATTGTACAACAAGAGTTAACATGAAAAACCCAAAGCTAAAACATGATTGCCTGCGCGTTCATCAACGGAGCTGCCTCCCTTTCACATTACACATCACCATTTCATCTATCGTTTATATAGGAAAGTGCAGCTTTAATTACCCCACCCCCACCCCCCCACCTCCAACCCCAACCCCACCAGTCAGTGACAGTGTGACTGTTTATACTGTACATACTGTACAATGTTCCTACTTACCTTCCTTTTGTTGGCAGCTATCACAGTAGGCAGCCAGCGGCTCTCCCTCGTATCCATTAGTAAGAAAACCACATCATGCTCTGAAATTAGTTTCTCCAGCTGCTCCACATCCCTCTGCGCCTGGGACAGAGTGGCCTGAGAGAAATTCACTGGGTGGCCAGGCATGGGGATGCTCATATTGTAACCCTCTGAATTCTGAATGAGAATAGAAAATAGAGGGGAGAAAGCGAGAAAGACAGGAAAAAAAAAAGACACGGCTTACAAATACAGATCACATGTACTTCACGGCACTTGCAAATTCAAAGTCCATTCCACATTCGCTTTTCTTTTCTATGGAAGATGACGTTTTGGTTTTAAATCAGCGGTGCCTGTGTATTTGCAAACATGAAAATGTCATTACTGAATTTAAACATATAATGAAAATTAAATTTCAACTTGACTGAATACTGTCGTTTCGGGACATCCAAGGAAGTTTGTAAAGTTTGGGTATGTTGGGAATGTCTCTTTTCTTGACAAATAAAAATGCCTACAGTGCCACAAGTATCAAAAAGCTTTTATTTTCCTTGTGCTGAGATAGTGCTAGATATATATACATATATGCATTTGTAAGAAAAGTAATAGTAGCAGCAATTTGGATGTGTAGATGTAGCGATGCTGATGTGTACATATATATACATAATCGGACACTGGTTTTGTACAGCTACAGCACATAAGATGCAATGAAATGTGTTTCGGTGTTTTTCTTAAGATGGGCTGCAGAAAATCCGAGAAATGTAAAACTTCTTTTCAATACATTTCTAGAACCTCTCGATCTAATCAGCTGCTGTATGAGAAGCCAGAAGCTGGAAACAAAACTTGGGCCAAACATGTCTTTTTGGCGTGCTTGCTGCTGGCTGTCTGACATACTAGTCTAGACAAATAAGTGAGAGCATAGTAGATGCAGTCACCAAACACTGCCTCAGTGTACTGTGTAATCACATCATCGCCACAGCTGACTTGAGTCCAGTCTGGATTTGGACTGTCCTCTGCGAGTCGATAGTAGAGAATGAGAAGGAAACTTTAAATCACCACTTCCAAATCCACGAAAAAAAAAATCTTTTTTAAAAAATACAGCATGGTAAAATGAAATGGGGTAAGTGGGGCTTCTGCTGATTCAATACCTTAATGTCTTTTAATGTCCATTGCCAAAATTGTATTACTGTGACTATCTGCAGGGTTGCAGATTCGACAGCGAGGCAAATGGAAATGTCATGAATAATTTCATAGTCAAGAGAAAGATGGAAAAGGGCAAAGATGAGGTGTGAGATCTTAACAAGAAGAAATGCCACTTTTACTGAATTAGTGGATCATTTGCCTTCACTCTCCACATTTCAAGAGTGGGAGCTGTTAACCAAGTCTTGAATTTACATTTCATTATGACGTCAAGTGTTACCAAGCAATCACAGAGTGATTTCAGGCTGCAATAATCATAATCATCCCATCTCCGCAGATTCGACATCCTCAACCTACAGCCGCAAAACAATTCTGATAGTGGAAAAATCCTTCCTTGAAAAGATAAACAAGATTTCATGACAATCCAACAATGCCACTGTTGATATCTTCAACCGGCTCTGACCTGACTGTTGACAAAATTTAAGGATAGAAAAAGAAGTTGGCGCCTACACTACAAACTATCCTGGAAATGTCAATCGACAGTATTTGTCCCCTGACAAAATCTGAAATTTGCTTCTGACATTTTCAGCATAGTGACCCTGCTTGAACCAGGTCCTCACAATTCAGTTAATGCATTTCTGTGCTTTCAGCTCACAGTGTTCCTTTTTCTGTCTTTGTTTCAAACTGGCACCTGATGCCCCTGTGTTTTGGGGAAGAAAAAAAAAAAAGCATGAGGGAGAGAGAAGCAGACACACACCCACACTGACAAAAAGAGGAGGGCAGGTACGGACGCAGCTCATACAGGGGGTAGACAAACAAAGTGTCTAGACACATCATGACAGCACAGGACCATACATCATGACGTACGCCTCTGTTCTTCATTTTGTATTGTATTCCCACAAACACGAGGGAGAGACAGAAAAAAGAGAGAGTAGAGAGAGAAGCTTGGATACAAAGTTGTTGATGTCATGTCATGACAATTATTTGTGTGTGGGAGTGGGAGTGTGCGTTTGTGTGTATGTGTCTGTTCATGTCTCTCACACTATAATCCTGGCCCACTGGGTATCTCATTTCAGTAACAAACCTGAATGGTGATTGAAAGCTTTGCGTGGTCAGTAACTTTCGAATGAAGCTTCAATCTTACTGAGTTCAAGGCAAATTACATCACAGCTTTCCAGTCAGACAGGGAGTGATTCACACTGTGAGATATAACGGAAGAAGAGACAGGCGAGCTGGGGGAAGGAGAGTTCTGTGATGCCAGCTCTTAGTCAGCTTAGGTAAAACTCACAAGTTGACTAGAAGCCCAGAGGGTGTAAACATTTCATTACACAGACTGTGCTCCACTTTCCAGATATATGACTCCGCATATGCATTTAAAAACAGAAAAAATGAATCATAGATTCATAGGAATTCAACGTGATGCTTCAAAAGATCAAAAAGCTGTTTGTGTTTCATCCTTTTTTAGCCTGTATACTGAGGTGTGATACTCTATACCAGCGGTCCCCAAACTTTTTTCAGTGGGGGCCACATCAACTTTCCTTTCTGAGCTCTGCTTGCTGGGCGCAATGCCTTTGCCGGGGGGGGGG